TGATCCACCAGGTGACCAGTTTGATCCACCAGGTGACCAGTTTGATCCACCAGGTGACCAGTTTGATCCACCAGGTGATCCTCTGTCCTGTGAGAGGATCCTGAGCCAGTGGTCTGTCCATCCATCCATCTGAGGGGTTTCCTGCTCTCTGACCCAGGGGCTTATTGTCACCAAACTCCATGAACTCTTTCTATCAGCTGTTATCATATGTGGGTCTGATAACTGCAGTGAGCATCATCAGAGTTTCTTTCCTCCCTTTCTGGTGTTTTGCTGTGCAGTGACTCAGATCGTCACATCGGCCCATTTGGGTTTCGGTGCTGATCTGTGTGGATTCTCATTTCTGCAGCGGTTCTGGAGAGGAAACCCAACCTGAGCTGTTCCCTCTGTGGTCGACATCCTGAGTTCCTCTACATCACCAACGCGGTGCCCGCGGGCTCCTGGTCGCCCCCACGGATCATTTGAGGTGCCCCCCCCAGAACTTTTCTAATTATAGCAAACTCACTTCTGAGCTGCATTTAAAATTTCATTTTATTCAGTTGTTATTCTTTTTTTGTATTTATATATATTTTAAAATGTCTATCTTAAAAATATGTTTATTATACATACATGGTGAACTCTGACCTAATCTAGTTCAAAGAGCAGCCAATCAGTGGTCGTGAAAAGTATGCTAGCGGGTCCCACGGAGGTGATCGGTCAGTTTCCTACCCCCAACAATGACAGAAAAAAGAAAGAAAACTTAGAATTTTTGAACGAATGGGAGAAGTTCCTTTTTGCAACTGTGAAAGGAACCTGTGTGTGTTATTTGCGGGGTGACTGTGGCGGCGACGAAGCGGCACAATGCGGAGAGACGCTTCACTACTGTCATAAAAGCTACAATGCTAACTGCCCATCGGGAAGCGCATTACGACCAACTGGGAGCAGCTACGATGGCTAAACCAGTGTTAGTTATGTCTGGTAACTTGGCTGATCAGCTGGACCAGATCTGGTGGTTTAGCATCCAGTGCGACGAGTCCGTGGACAGCAGCAGTACAGGCAGCTATTGATGTTTGAGAAATCATTAACCTGATGCATCTTCATAAAGATGATTATGATGATTCACTAATAATGTATAATTAAGAGGCAAACTGAGCAGATTTGTTATTTCAGAAGAGTTTATCAAACTGGTGCCCTTTGTTGGACTCCGTACCCATGAAGTAGCTCTCAGTTTCAAAAAGGTTGGTGACCCCTGATCTACAAAGACTTTAAAGTCCTTCAGTATAAATAAAGATTTAGCTCTTTAATAAAATTGAACGATTCCTGTGCAATACACTATCTCATAAAACTATTAAATATCAACATGGCTGCATTTCTGCAGGAACCACAGCTAACTTCTGACCAATCAGAGCTCTGAAATGGTTCGACTGGGTCTGGTGTCGAGTTCGGCAGACGACTCTCTGACAATAAAATGATGTGGTTTTTCACCATGTCAGTAAGAACCGGTTTCAGAACGTTGCATGAAGTCTGTTGTAGCCTTAAGTAAAGCTCTCTTTAACTTCTTTAGTTACAAAAAGATAGAAATAAAAGGATTAAAATTTACTGTAATGATTGTTTTTAGATAAAACTGGATGGATGAACAAAGGTTTGTCTCACCTTTAGATTTTCTCAACAGTTGAATCAGCAGAACCAGAATCAGGGAGTAAAACCCAAAAATCACACATGGTGGAGTCAGGAGGATGAAGGGATGAGACTGGGAGGAAGAGGAAGATGGAGGTGGAGATGAAGGAGAGGCTGGAGGACCAGAAGCAGGTGATGGTTTCTCTAAAATAAAGTTTTATTTATTAAATAATTGCTAAATAATTTCTAATGAAAACCAAAGTTAATATTTTAATCCTCTGACCTTCCACAGAGATCCAGCTGGATGGAGACTCTCCCTGACCGCTGATGTAACAGTGATAGAGGCCTTCATCAGATCTCCTCACTGGGTTCAGGGTGAAGTTTCCAGTAGTTCCATGACCAATGAAGGAGCCATCTTTATAGAAAGCAGCTGGGAGGTTGTGGGCTGGACTCTTTGCTCTGCAGCTCAGAGTGACGTCATCTCCCTCCATCACAGGGAGGACAGGACTCTGCAGGATCACTGATCCACCTCAACACAGAGACAAACTACAGCATTTCATCCATTTCCACACAGCAACACTAACTCCACAGTCTGATCTTACCAGAGACAGAGAGCTGGATGCTGCTGCTGCTGCTGCTGGAGGATCCAGACATGGACTCACACCAGTACAGGCCAGAGTCTGATGGGAACAAGGTGATGTTACAGGTGGAACCAGCTGATTCCCCCCATCCATCTTTATCACACTGAGTTCTGGTTCCTCTGGTCGTGTTTCTCCTCACAGTCCATCCATCAGAGATGTTTTCATCCTCACAGATCAGAGTCACTGATTCTCCATCAAAGAACTGAGATCTGCTGGGACTCACAGTCAGAGCAGCTGGAGAGACTGAAGAGATTTCATTAATAAAACTGAAAAGCATCAGAGTGAATGATTATTCAAATCAAGAATTTTCATAACATTCTCAGATGTAGCTTTTATCCAAACCACATCTTTGAAAATGTAAAGTATTTTCTTTAATGTACCAGAAGTTCACCAACCTGGATCTGTTGAACAGCTCAGAAAGAAGATCAGAACTAGAGAAAATAAAATACATTATTATAAACTAAAGCTGAACATGTCAAATATAATGTACTCTCAAGTTGTGAAATTCAATTTCATATTCATTTTGTTAATTCTGTTTTTATATTACGATGCTGTTATTTATAAACATCAACTTCATTGATTTCTTCAGTTTTTATACAGCGCTGATTCCAAACATAATTTCCTGTCATTTATTAGCCTGATCATTTTCGGAACCATCCAGCCCCCCAGTAATTATATTCTACCACCATCCTATTAAATCCGTCCAGTAAAATGTCTCCAGTGTCTCTCAGACAGAGAGAAATGCTGATCCAGCAGAAAGAGACTAAAACTTGTCTACTTACAGATCAGACAGTGAGATGTTCCTTCCATTGTTCTTCTCAGTGATCTGACCTGACGATGTTTCACTGAAGCTGAGAACGGCTGGCTGAGCCGCCTACTTCCTGCTGCTGGTCCGTCTGCTGCAGAGAGGAGGGGCTGCAGGGCAGGAAGGCTGTTAATCAGGGATGTGTTATTGATAATATATGTTCAAAGTTTTTCAACAAACACAGAATAATTCTTTACCGTTTTATTGAACAAAAATCATTTTCACAGCTGAACAAAGAGGAAGGTTATGGAGATCCAGGGCCGTGCAGAGACCTTTGGAGGGGCTCAAAGTTAAAAAGGGCCCATTGAACAAGATCTTAAAACATCGATCAACAACCCATATTAATCTAATATGTAATGAATGTTATTTGAAGATATTTTACTAAATAAACCCTGATAATATCTGATTGTTTAACCTCTAGATCTGTTTCTGTGTTTCTCAACATGGGCGGTACCGCCCCCCAGGGGCCATTCAGAGGACGGCAGGGGGCACTAGTGGAAATTTTTACAAAAGTAGGGCGCTGGGATTCCTTTGGTTGAAGGTAAACTTCACACCTTAAATGCAGAACAATACCAGTTTAGACTTTGAGAAACTTGCTAAAACTGTATTGTGTAACATTAAATCATGCTTGGCTGCAACTGCATCGATGGCAGCTCTCCTTCTTCTTCTATTCAGTGTTTGTAGCTTGTAGCTCCACTACTGCTACTGGTAGCTTCACCGCATCAGTTCAGCTTTTCACCGGCTGATGACGTTGCTGTGATTCACTGTCTGGTGAATCAGACAAGTGAATCACCAATGTGTGGAACACATTGTACATATGTACAATCCCAAACATTGTACGTTTGTATGAAAAAGTGTTTTAATGTTTGTCTGGATGCTGCCCACTTCCATGGAAGAACAACAGAAAATCATTCTTATACTGTATAGATATTATTTATAATGTATAAAGGTGTTGTTTATATCACTTAATTAGCAATACATCCTGAAGAAAATTATGGTATTTTAGAAGATAATTTATCTTTCACTTTACCAGTAATGGCGA